ATTCCTATTCGTCTAGCCACATCGATGTAGAAAGCTGGGAATAGAATGCTAAGTGCTGGAATAGTAGAAGAAAACATGGTGCATGTAAAACTTGCTACTAGCATACAAATGTCTACACTACCTTTATCTGCAAACAATGAGTGCATAAATCAGGGCAGGTTTGTGGCACTAAGCAGCACGACAAGCAAAGCTTCTCTTTGTCTGTACTGTGCAACTGGTGTGACTTCAGTGCACACTTTTTTTTTCAAACACTGTGGATGTTTCATTCCCCAGCTTTGTTCATCTAAAAGTTTGGCATCTCATTTGAGATGGAGGTGCCTGCCAAGAAAAAGTAAATAACTACCTTACACTGCATATTGACTTCAGCTAAATAAAAGCTAAGTAACATCAATCTCCTCCTTTGTTAGTAGAGTGCGGCAAAACTTGGAATTTTCAATCCGTTTTGTCATGATTCCTCCCCAAGCAGGATTGTTATTTATTTATTTTTTTTAAATAATGGATATTCTGGAAGGTTTCGATACAAGCTAAACAAACAATGCTGACATTCTGGTAATTGAAATGTTTCATTGCAGTTTGTTGAACTGCCCTGACACATTTCTTCTCAAATTGGTTCAAGCTGAAATGCTATTTCACAGTACAATATGCTTTGTATGTAGTATTTGAGCAGTAGATTGAGGACTTCTCATGTTTACCAATTAGTTTTCCTCATTTTTTTAAATCCTCCTTTCTCTAATTCCAACAGTAGCCCACAAGAAGACAGCCTTTATTTATTCTCTTTCTTGCAAATAACCAAAAAAGTTTTAAAAATACGTATATACATACGGATTTCTGAGATGGGGATCTGACTCTCAACAGTAGAGTAGCAAAAAAGAACAACAGCAGACAGCAGCTGGGCACGCTGGAAAGTCTGAAGAAGAGCAGTTGTGCTCAAGAGACCCACAAGCAGCTCAGATGCAGCACACGGCTATGAGAGGAGCCAACCCTTCAGCTAATGCAACCTGCTGGGTTGCCACATCTCACCTGAGAGCAGGAGAGTCCCCCCAGCTTGAGCCTCCAAGAGGCAGCTATAAGACCTCAGCAATTAGCAGATCATCTTTCTGCCCTCATAATGGTAGGCTTCAGCCACAACATCTGCTCAGAATCACATAAAATTCTCTCAACGCAGCTTTTCATTTCAGCTGTTTCAACCATTCTTCCATATTTCCTTTGAGAAATGCCAATAACTTGAATGCAAAAAACCAACAGCAAGTATGGCATGGGAAAGGGAATATGCCAGGGTAGAGCAGCTTTACTTATGGCCAAGAATCAATTACCATCCTTCACTGAGATATGGCTGAGCGTGGTCCTGCACGCAAGACCTGGAGCCAACAAGTATTGAGCATATTTTATTGACGTACTTCTTGCCCAGTCCTCAGGAAAGGATTTAAATTATGAATATTTGCTTATTACTGATTATTAATGCATGGAAAGTGCTGTATATGACTAATGCATTTTTTCAGCCTACCTCATTTCTCTGTTTTCCCTAAGCAGTCTTCATTTAAATTCTGAGTGGAGTGAATCATATGTTTATATGCATTCACTACAGTGTTTGGGGATCCTCATCTCATGCTGAGGGAATAGCACCTCTCCCTGGTAAGTACGTAGGGTTCCAATTCTTGTTTATTAAAATGCTTCAATCAAAAAGAATTTTTCAGGAATATGCTTGCCATGAGGCTCCCACCAACCGCGCTAATAAGACAAGCATTCATGATGAGATCAGTATCTAGACTAGAAAATTTGCTGTGTTTAATACATTATTGTTCTCCTCTTATGTATTTTCTCTCTAGTTTTCTTCGGTGGACATGTGAGATGATAGCAGTGAGGTGTGAGATGAAGAAAACTCTCTTTGGACTTACTGAGAATAGCTAACATCAAAACAGCTCACACCTGTGTCAAACTCCACAGCTTGGCATGACCCAGAGGAGCAGGTTGGGGATCACAGGAAGGAGAGAGCAGGTAGAAAGAGCTTGGATTAGTCAGCTGCAGGATTTCCTTTTGATTCTCGTATTTGATAACCTCAAATTCTGTCTCTAAAGCAGCCAGCTGCATGAGGCAAGGATAAACCCCACCATTCAGGGACTGACTCCTGACAGTGGATTTCAATTATGTTAGAGAATCTTGAAATAGAGTACTTAATCAGATAAGGATCAGGAAGCAGATCTGATAGAGGTACAGTTAGTTTGCTTTGCCATCTAACGTGAAAATTTATTCATGTGGGAATGTTTTGAAGGATTTTTGTACACGATTCAAAGGTAATAAAGTATTTGGTATAAGCAAGAGCACAAAAGAAGACCTGGGCAAAGATGTTTTTGAGCTATGGAGAAGATGGGAAAGAGAAGTGGGGCTGAAGAAAGCTGTCTCTGCTCTGGGAAGGAAGGGGGCTGTAGGCTGAGGAACTTCACCAAGCTCTGCAGCTTGGCAAACAAAGAGGAAATCAAGTATAAAATATTTCACAGTGCTTATATTCATAGGATGGATGGTTTTTTTTAACTCTTCCTAGTTAGCACATTTCTACTTACGTGCTTAAACTGACATTAATATAATATTGCAAGATAACACTGCTTTAAGAGCTCATAGGATCATACAGAGCTGTGATCATATATGCCAAAACCATCACAAATAAACTATTACGAGTGGAAGGAGGAAGGTGAAAAAGAAAGAATATCCTTTTCCCCTTAGGGCAAAACAAGACTAGTTGCAGTATTTCTGTAACAAAAGATCACATTTGTCCAAGTCATTCCCAGGAAGCTATGGGGTTTGACTTATTTTGCAACGTGTCCATCACAGTTCTGCTGTCAGAACCATGTGGGATTGGTATTTTCTTTCTTTTTCCCTCCAGCATACATAGCCCAACCTGACTTAAAAAAAATAAAAAATAAAAAAAAGCTAGAAGAAGAATCCACAGAGATTATAAGTGCTGCATAACATGAGAACTGATATAAGCAAAGGTTTAGTTAAAACAGTGCGTCTGTAGGTGACATGGCAGGATTTAATCATACACACAAGTAAGTCAAAGCAGGTTCTCTCTGTTTTTATGAGTAAAGGCGTGTGATTTTAGTACTTTAATTAGCTGTGAAGAGGAATTACAGCCATACAAAACCTCTTTTCATTTCTGCTTTCTATCACAAAGATGTCTGTGAAAAACACCATACAGATGATTTACTTTACCTTCTCTAAAGCTGTGGCATTATCTATTTTGGCATTTAATAATCCCAAAGCCTCAAATTCTACCCCGCACCAGTGGACACAAAGGCAATAATGCTTTGCACATGGAGTGTTCTAAAATCCTCCCATTCACTTCAGTGCAAATCCTGCTCCTTTTGTTTACTTTTGCTCAGCAGCAAAGGCCTTATGGGATGCTTAAAAATTACAGCGTGCTTATAATTATTGTTAGTAAATTAATACAGGAGTATAAGTAAATACTGTACACAGTATGTGAATATTTTTTATGAGTAGATCAGATGGGGAATATCATGGTGCTGGAACTTCAAGGTCTAAGCTTAATTCAGTGATTTGAATTGCAAGTTTTAGATGGTGCTCTCCTCACTCCTGTTGCCTGACATCAGAAAATTCAGAGCTTACTCACTGCAAACTGCATAAGTGAGCATGCAGTATACTGTGGTAGACCACATCCAATAGGAAAGAATAGGCATTTTTGTCAGATAGACCATGCAATCAAAATGCAAATAGGAATATCTAGTTAGAAAAGTATTCTTAGTTAATAGCTGAGTAGTTAAATAGAAAATAAAACTGGCATTACTGAAGAGATGGAAAAAGCACTGGAAATTTCTCTACATTCTCTAGCACAGATTGCTTGCCCAGTTTTTTCTGTTTTGCTGCAAGTGCCTAAGTGAAATCTCTCCTCAACTTTGCACTTTCTTGCACACAGCTTAAATTTACTTTTATCAGCACTGTACACCACAGCAGTATGGGATAGAAAAATACATCCTTGCATCACAGTTTGAGATAAAGTTGTTTTAAAGAACTGAAGTCATATTCCATATGTGACCCAAAGTAGCATCTTTGAACAACTGGTATGTCTGCAAAATCTTGTGTATGATGCCCAGAACTTTATGAATTACTAGCTCTGGTTTTAGCCTTTGAAAGTGATGATGTGATAAAATGGTGTTGCTGTTACAGTTGTGAACTGAAGGAGCAGCTGAGGAAGATTTCACTTCTTAGACACAGTTGCCTATTCTGCCTGTTTGCCTTTATGTCTATATAAAAGGAGTATCTATTATATCTATAATATAATAGAAAGATGTGGGGATAGTATTGTTTTACACCGTGCCTGCTATTCACAAGTCAGGTCTGTAAGTTTTAATTTTGATACTTTAGTGTTTAATTGATACCAGCAGGTAATAAATACTACAGTGAGTTTGTGGCAACTCACAAACCAGCTATTAGCCAGGGCAGACCCCACGTCAGCAAAGCCCTGCACAAGACCATGTTGCCACATATCAGTGTGTAAGAGAGCACTCTGGCATACTGATGCAGTGGCTCAGTCCGGCCTGAACAGCACAGGCAGAGGATATGGAGGATGATTTAGGCATGGGTTGTTGTACAACCTGTACAGATGCCAAGCAATTAGGCTGCAGCCTGGGGGTACGTTCCACTTCCCTGAAGCCTCCACTGATGTCTCCTACATGAAGCTGATTCACTCAGGCTTTTGCACGTGGCAAACAGTTGGCTTTAATAGCGTTGCAGCGAGTCAACTGCTGATGAACACAAACATATGTATCATACAATTACCCCAGCGTATTCAGTTTGTCTTTGTTCTCAATCAGCTTTCTATCTGCAGGACTGTATGGCTACTGCTAAAGAAGAATAGGCCTCTGGCATCAAAGCTTTCCATCAATAAGCTGTCAAAAGCAATACTAACTCAGCTGTGCTGCGGTGATGTTTAAATGATATTAAAACAGAGAACACCCAACAATCCAGCAGCTGCTTTATTACAGTACCTTTTGTTCAGGCGCAGCACCTCGGGGCCCTTTCTCCAGTCAATAGCTGCTCTGGGAGAAGCACTTGGTCTACAACCAATGGTGACTTCACCACCAACTTGAACAACAGATGTTTTTTTCACAGGATTTTTGGAAAAATCGGGGGCTGCCGCTAAGAACAAAGAAGAGCAGAATGGAGCTGATGAGTTATTAAACGAACTTGCTGGATTCTTTTGAGTAACACAGTAGGTGAATTCAGTAATTCTAGTAATTCTAACTCTAGTGTGACATCTCTCCTTGGGATTCTCTGTAGACGGGGACAACATGTCTGCCTGTGCTAAGGCAGGCTCCTGAGCCACATCAGCAGTAGGGACAGAGCTCATTCCTGATCCCAGTCACTGCTCTTCATCCATGGCGTTTAGAGGATTCAATTCCAAATGCCATTTTTCAGTGACTGTCAGTTCATCTGTTTTCTGAAAGCATTATGCACAGATCTGTCCAGTAATCTATGGGGAAATTCTCTCAGAGAATGAGAAAACAAGTCCTGTTTTGGACCTGTTTGGGAGCTAGGTGCTCCCAAAATCAGTGTTTCACTGCTTTCACTGGCACTTAGCTGTAGAACAGCCTTTATGTTTTGATATCTACACTGGAATACTTTTCACAGTTTGTGAAAGAATCCCATTTTATGTGCATCTCTGGTAATTCTTCATGAGATCATTTGTTGTGTTATGTTTTTATACACACATATGCCATATGTTCTTTATGTAATATTAAAACTTTCCCACTTTCTGAAATTATTTTTAAAGCTGCAAAATAGCTATGAATAGCTAAAAATACAAAGTGAGAAGCATTATTTAAACTTGGAAAAGATCACACATGGGATTAGAAATTTCCCCCCAAACAGCCATGAAACCAATAAACATTTAAATACAGTTTGTGAAATTCAAGCAGCAAAAAAAAAAAAATGAACAACCTTGAATTGCCAGGTAAAATTTAGCCATTTCTTGATCTCAGATCTTTAAAGAGAGTGTCCCATTATTTGCCATTTACTCACCTATGACCCTCAATTCAGCACTGGCGTAAATAGTATTGTACTTGTTTTCTGCCACACATTGATAGAGGCCAGAGTCTGACATATTCAGCATCGGTATGATAAGAGTTCCATTTTCCACTTGAATTCTCTCCTGATAAAGGAAAAACAATCAAAATAAGAAAAAAAAAAAAAAGAAAAAAAGAAAAAAAAAAAGATTAACAGAGCTAATAAACATACAATCCCAAACATTTTTGGTATCACACTGTTGCACCTGATCATAATTCAGGAGTAGAGGTGCTATTTTCTTTTAAAATTGCATGGACAAGTGATGCATACATCAGTTACAATACTTGTTATCTTTCCAGACCTCCTAACTCATGGTCTAAACCCCCCCTGTTCTATTAATCCAATGATCATAATTGAAGGTGTGATCAAAAACCTCCCCAGGTGACAGAGGTATTCAAATAGCCAAAAAGTGTGAAGTATCATTGGATCCATGTGTCATGGAAAAAAAAATATGATCCACTGAAAATGTTCTGAATCATAGAATGGCCTGGGTTGAAAAGGCCCACAATGCTCATCCAGTCCCAACCCCCTGCTGTGTGCAGGTCGCCAACCAGCAGCCCAGGCTGCCCAGAGCCACATCCAGCCTGGCCTTGAATGCCTGCAGGGATGGGGCATCCACAGCCTCCTTGGGCAGCCTGTGCCAGTGCCTCACCACCCTCTGGGTGAAAAAACTCTCCGCTGAAAGCCAACTCTTAAATTCCTATTGGAGCCCATAGGCAGCTGTTCAGCTCAGAGGAACAACATGTTTCTCATGGCTTGAATTTCTATTTACAGTACATTGCTTTGGCGTAATTCTGCTGAAATAGTGGAAACTGCACAGTAGGTAAATTCGGACAAGAGGTTGATTTTTGTGTACTAAGTTATTTGGCAAATTAAAAAGCCTGTTTCATGATACAAGCATAACTTAAAGCCAAATATTCTGTGATTTAACTATTAGCTATTTTTTATTAACTATTAACTATTATTTAACTATAGTCTCTGGAGAGCTCTGGCTCCATTGCAAAGTGTAACACTGAGAAGGAGGAGAAAGTATGATCTCCAAAACAGATCTGTAAGGAAGAAGCCGACAACAGGGAATATAAATTCCATCACCAAGTGCAAATCTGTAACAACAGATATTGCTATTATTATTATGCCTCTTCTTAAGTCTGGCTCTACTGCCTCTGAAACAGTAATGGGAACATACGTTGTTAAGCAGTACAGTCCTTTGCTGAACAGCTAGAAGCATCTACAACGTCTCTGTGAAGCGCAGAACAGATTAGCCCTTTGCATCCCTGCGGGGAGATTTCTCTCTGTGCTTGCAGTGAGGAGGGTGCCACCTACTGAGCCAGGGAGCTCTGTGTTTCAGCGACACAGGAGATCTGTCTTTTCCGTGGAGGTCTCCCAACCAAGAACTGACTGAGTCCAACCTTGTTCAGCTCAGAAATTTGATGTGATCACAGCCTGCGGCTGTATGGTTGGTGTATTGCAAGCTAATTAACAACATTACATTACTTATCTGCCGTTAATTTTTTGAGGCTCTTGCTACAAATATCTTCTGCGTACTTAGTTTTACCTTCAGGCTGTTTGCTATCCTCTTGGTGCATTCTATTTTTACAAACATCCTTTGAATACAAAACCCCCTTCCGAAGCAACACTTGCATTTCATACACATGCTGAATCCCTCTCCATTCTCAGCTGGCTCTTTTGAACTACACAGACAAAGAGAAAAATAAAGCACACCATGTACACAAGCAGGAATACTGCAGAGATGACCAACCAGGTGGTCAGGGGAAAGGGTTTTACAGAAAGCAGATGATACCCACAGAATCAGTCCCGAGATGGAAAGCATCATATTTCCAACAAGCAGGGTGCTGTGATGGTCTGAATATTTTATTACACATCTCTTGTACTTTCACCTTCAAACTATCCATTTCGTCCATTGAGCAATAACATTCAGTATTTTGTTGCCTGAAGTATTACATTTACAATATACTGTAAGCACTGTGAAAATGTTTCTGTAGAGTTTTATCCTTTTTTTTTTTTTTTTTTTTTTTTACTGAAACGATGCAATTGCAGAGTGGCAGGCTTTAAAGATCACTGTCTTCAAAGAGAGAAACTAGATAATCTTGTGTAGGAACAGGCAACAGTATAAGTGAAATTACGGGGTTCTGAAAAACTGCAATCCAAGTAAATTCTGGCTAGCCTTCTCAGGTGCTGGTTGAGCTCTGTTTAGGACTAATCCAAAAGAAGATCACATGGAAGATTGGACCCCCTTCCAGTTGTTTCAAATAAGCACCAGTAAATCAAACAAGCATAAGTTCTGCACCCTAGCAGGTACAGAACATTTATTTTGAAACTGCTTCTATGTCTGCTCTTGTTAGACAGAAACTAATCACAGTATTATTTTTTTCCTATCAAGTAAAAAATGCATTACAAATGAGCCACGCCATTTCACGCTCAGTAGATGCTGAACAGATGCTAACAAAAAGGGAAACTTGGCCTCAGCAGAACACAAATGCAGCAAAGAATCTCTTGTCACAGAAGTCAGAAGACTGGAAGATGGATGTACCAAAGCTTGGCTGCCACAAAAGAATAATTATACTGCTCTGAAAGAGCCAAAGCTGAGTTCTCAGAAACCAAACTGCATAAGTAACTGATCAGCTCTTTTAAATGTCTGAACTCCAATTGATTTCCTCTCGCATCCCCCACTCCTACCACTCTACCGCTTCCTTCTCCACTTTGGTCCTTCTTTGTCCTTTAAGTGAGATTTTTCATTTATTCCCCTTTTTCTAGTTACGTTGTGGTTGGACCCAATGATCTTCAAGGTCTTTTCCAACCTGAGAAATTCTATGATTCTATGATTCTTATAACTTTACATGGTCTTCTTTGGTCTGATATTCCACTACAGGGTATCAGTTGTACACTAAACTCAATCACTTAATAACCAATTTTCATGGCTAATTCAGTTAAAGGATTAATATGCACAAGAACAGCCATACTGCTTCAGACCAGAGGTCCATCCAGCCTCCAGGTTAAAAGCAGAAGCCACAGAACCAAGTAGTCATTGGGCTGATCAGATTGCTTTGAAATACTCACTCTTCCACAGCCAGCCAATTAGGACAGGCATCCTACAGGCTTCCCAAATTACACGTGGCCTACACATGCATTCACTATTTATGGACAGACCCTTATTTCACTAGTTATAATGGTGATTTATTAACCCATCTATACTTAGTGTCATATCTTGTAGCACTCACATGCTTTGCAAGATAAATTATAACTGACATTTTCAATATATATGAACTCAAAGAACTGAGGCTTTATGTTGCAAAGTATATGATGATACACTAATTATCACTTCTGAAACTTATTACATTTATGAAACTAGTAACATATTTTACAATGAATGTCATAACTAAACCCTGTAAAAATAAGACAAGAAGTTAAAAAGACAGAACCTTACCTCTGACATGAGAGGCTGGCCATTTTTTAACCAGCTGTAGGAAGGGGTTGGGTTGCCTTTTGCCTTACATTCCCAAAACAAACTGTCATAGAGAGACAGAAAGGCATTTTCGATTTTTTTATCCCATTCAGGAAGTGCTGAAAAGAACACGCAAACCATTTTAAGCAGGAGAAAAAATGATTTTGCTGGAAATATGCTGCTGTTAATTAACAAACTGAGCTAAGCTAATTAGTATTTGACCAAAACATTCACGTTGCCTTACAAGTAAATTCTGCACAACAGATTTCCTGGCACTGAACTTCAGGATTAACCTGGGAAGATGTTAGAAATTAATTGGCCAAGAGATTCAGTTTAGACATTGGTTTTTATGGCCAAAATTTGCAGAAATGGTTATTTTAGATACCCAGAAGTCTGAGCACTCCTCTCCAGGTTCTATAATCTGTGTACCAAAAGTAGAAAAATCCAAACTATGAGTCAGTAGCTAATCAAATTCACAGATGTAAGTGATACCCACTGTGTTTTACACACATACCTGAGATGATGGTTTTACATTGTAGGTTCGTCAGGTATAACTTACAACAGAAACTGTACAAAGGAATTAGGGTTATTCAAAACAGCTTCTGAACACTTGTGATGCACTGACATAAAGATATTATTTTATAAAAACAAACAAACAAACAAGCAAACAGAATATGCAAAAATCACAAAGAAGATCTGTAAACATCCAAATAAACACAGAAGGATGGAGCTGAGGAGGAGTTAGCACAAGGCTGACATACAAAATAGTTGTAAATATATTGGTGAATATGAGAGCCAGGGAGAATGACCAATGCCCAGCAGGCTCTGAGATACACCAAAGCTGCTGGCAAGTGTGGTTCTACATTGCATCCCCCTGTGCTTCAGGTGAGTGGCTGATGTCTCAGCATCCCATGAAAGATTTTTGGCTAGGTTAAGTCATAAATCTGCAGACTCTGTGTGTGCGTATGCTCCAATTTCTTATATACAGTAATTTCATTTCAGGAAGAGATTTGTTATCTTTTAAGATGAGCAGAACAAGTTTCTGAAAAGTAATCAGTAACTAAACCTACCTCCATAGCACAACCCTACAGGGATAGCCCATGGCTGTGCCCCAACGAATCACCCTGACACTACTACAATGCCAACATTTCACAGGGCATGAAAGTCTACTAAAGACAGACCTCTCCATGCTCCAAAGTTACTCTAATTACATGTTGTTTTTATTGTTCTCAGAGCCTAAGACACATGCACTCACAGCCATGCACAAAGCATCCAGTGCCCAACAAAGAAACCCTATTTCCTAAAGATGAGCTGCTTACAGACTGAGTAAAACACAGCAGAACATAAACTAAGAGGAAGTCAATTATGTAGATAATATGCAAGTGCACTCCTAATACGATAAAAATTCTTGTGCAAATTCTTCACACTTCCTGTTTACATATTTACTATGAACAGCCATTAATTTACAAAGCACAACTAATGAGTATATTCTTTCAAATTGTAATAACTGATTAAAATTTTCTAGTTGCCTATATTGTTATCAGTGACATCCAGGTAGTTTAGTGAACTTAATTTTACTGGAATTCTTTGACATTCTGTGAAAATTAGTGAGCAACGTGTGCAAAAATAACCCCTTAAAAAGCAAAGAAATAATTAAATATTCAAAGCAGCAGCAGACTGCTCTATTCCCAGCATAGATCTTGATATTAGCCACGGCAGCAGGAGTGGTAGCTTATTAGCAAAGCTTGCATTGCTTTTTTCGCCAAGGTCTTCTCACCAGATATTAATTGTAGTCACATAGTCTGGCTTTTCTGTAATTCCTTTTTTATTAAGAAGTTTTATTTTTTCTCTTATTTTCAAAGACCCATAAGGTAAGGAAAAGACCTCCATATCTCTTACTCACGCACAAACATTGCTTTTTTTCCCTGAGTATTAAAAACAGGACTAAAGAGTATATAATTTGCTTTGGCTACAGTGGAACATCATGCATAACTTGGACCACAGGAAATGAATGCATAGGATGGGAAGGGAAATGGGAGAACAGTTTCACAGAAATATTATTGCCTGCTTTTACACGAGGAGGAAGGAGAGGGAGGCAACAAGATGAGTTTCCCCTGCCTTGCCCTCATCTGTTTCTGGAGAAACGTTGTTCAGCTAGAACTCGTATGAACAAAAATCTCATGAATCCTTCCCTAATCTGCATCAGGGACAGCACAGTTTTCTGCTGCCGTGAGCTACTGAGAGTAAATCTTTTTGCCTGCCCTTAATGTTTCATGTAAATGTACCAGGGATTTTTTTTTTTCTGCTTTGTATTAACCTTTACAACTTCATCATGGCACAGCCCACATTTTCAATCTGAGTTTTAATGCAAAATATCTTTATTTGCTGAGGATATAATTCAGTGAAGGTCACTGCAGACCTGCAATCATTTTTTAATCAGCTTAACCTGAACTACATTTCATATCTCCAGTAAGGGGCTAATAGACTTCATCTACAAAATACATCTGAATGTTATCAGGCCCTGTAGAGAAAAACAAAAAAAAAAAAAAAAGAGGAAGAAGAAATTAATCAATCTGCTTACCATAGACAAATAATTGACCTCTTGCAATGTTTCTGCCTCGAATGTTTTCTGCAATGCACTCATAAGAGCCTTCATCTTCTTGCTGAATATCTGGGATTTCAAGAACTCCTTTGTTTTTGTCGTGTTTGATTTTCTTTGTCAGTGGGCTTCCATCAGACCTCCTCCAGCTGATATTAGGGACCGGACTAAATAATTACATTTGTTAGAGAAAGAGTGAGCATTTGTTACAGAAGAAAAGATAATGTGAAATCCCTTTGTAGAATCATATTTCAAAAAAGAAATCATTTCAGTTTCTAAGAGTGATTTGCAGAGGTTCATAAGATTGAGTTTTTATAACTCACCCAACCAATTTAGGAGCACAAGCCTAACTGTGGTGTGAAGCCCTCAATGATTGCTTGTAAAGCCAATTTTTATTTTCCCCACAGTAACTGTGAGAGTTCAGTGAAGGGACAATTCTAGAGGTCCAAAAAAACACCACAGAAACACAGAATAATTGACTGGTTTTGGAGAAAACAAATTCCCTCTGGCAATAGAGGTATTTTCACTCCTCAAAATAGGAAACATTGCACAAGAATTCAAAGAAGCTAAAAAGAACAATAAATCTAGGTATAAAAAATGGGATCTGAAGTAGAGGAGGGCAGGAAGACAGCTGAGCAAGGAAGTGGAAAGCACGAGAGGCTGAAAGGAGATAGAGACTAAAGAGAATATTTCTTGTTTCATGTTTTCATTTTCATTTACATTTAGATCAATGTATTCTATATGATAAAGACAGCCAGGTGTAAAGAAGGCTACAAATAATTCTTGGATTCCTGGTAATACCATAGACCATACAAGCCTTGCTATCATGATCTATTATGTCAACAGATCGCTTTGAAATATTAATAGCGTTGGATTTCACAGTTGCCTTCTGTTACAGCAAACCAAAGTAAGCTGCTTTTTTTCTAAGCAAACGAGCAGTGACATTTTGAATGGCTTCTTACAGTGGTTTTGATTAAGACTGCCATCTATTCCATTGGAAGTAACATCAACAACAAACACTTGGTGCTGAACTTTAAAGCATGACATCCATAGAAATCAGAAGCTCACGCTGCCCTCACCTCAGTCCCTAAGGTCTCTGGCCTGCAGCACTGATGTACAAAGCATTTTTAACAGAGACCATAACTGCTCATATTTTGAATTATTTAGGTCCCTGGCTCAAACTCTTTTTTATTGACCAAGGAAATCAAGTCACCAATAAATAATGGAAAAAGTACTTAATGCTGTAAACTCAGGTCTAGCTCCTGTGCTTTGAGACTAGAGCCCTTACCAAATGCAAATTTGCTTAGCATTATTCCCTACTAGGAACTCTGAGGGGACTGACTGTCAAACACACTAGCCAGTGTGGTAGAAAGTAGCATCTCCCCCACCAACCTTTGTGTGATATTTCTCATGCAAAATTTCTCTAAACAGAATTTTTTTTAGTCATTTAAAAGAAAATTCGTGTGCAGAACAGGCCCATCTCAGTGCTGCCATGACCAAGCCAGAAAAACAGCCAGAGGTACTCTGCAGCCTCGTGATGCACTGACACCGACCACTGACAACACGAAGGAGAGCACTGTTGGCTTTAAAGCACTATTGCATATTAAATAATGGGTGAATAGCTGCTGTATAATGGAATCTTGCAGTACTCTAAATGCCAGAAGCATTTAACTGCTTACTTTAAAGGCACCTCTTCTGGATCTCTTTTTTTCCCCCATAATTTTTTTCCAGATTAAAAGAAGCTAATGTTTATGAAAAGCAGAAAAAGCAATTAGACATCCATTTATATCTTGCTATCTGAAAATCCTTCATCCAAATATTTCCTATTCTATGAGTTTATTTTCCATAGCATGACTATGAATGAAGGGAAGCCTGCACTGACACTAAGGCCAGAGGCAGGACTCTGTGGAAAAAGGTGCCTCCGTCAACTTGTCAACTCAAGTTTACCAAAGCTGGCACTGAAAACGTTGTCCTGTTTTCCTTCTCCACACCAGGTACTTATAATGACATCCTTGGGGATGTTTCAAGACAAACTCTCCTCCTTGTCAGCCCCATCCTTCCTAACAAGGCTGCCTCTGATGCCAGCTGCAGCAGGATGACATAGAAAACCGAGTTTGGGTTAGCAACTTGACTGTCTTTAAATGCATAATTGCAATAAATACTTAACTGTACTTTGTTCTGTTGGGAAAGCGTGTGCTGAGTAGCCTAGTTTTGTCAGAATAAGGAATACATTTGTCAGGAGAGCAGCCCCTCACCAACCTGAAGCTTCAGCAAGCAGCTGCAGGAGGAGCCATGGCTGGGCCTTTGGTACCATGGGGCTGGAGGAGGGCTGCATTTCTCCGTTGCCTCTGCAGTGCCTCCCTCCTCACCTTAAGGTTTCCAGGAGCTGTAATCACTGTTTTGCAAAAGGCAGGGTTTGGGGTGGTTTCACCTTCTTCCAAAGTTAGTATATACTTTATTTAAATATATATATATCAGCACTGGTATTACAGGGTATTTGAAACCTTTCAAGCTGAGAAAACCTGAATGGCTTTAAAAAGAATGAATATAGAATTTACTCCAATGATTTTGCCTAGCTTCAGAAATACACCCTTGTGAGCTTCTGCAGGATGATGCATGGAGGTTAGAACTAGATGATATTTTAGGTCTCTTCCAACCCAAGGCATTTTATGATTGTACTTCTCATAACCACTCTATTGAAGGTCATTATCTGACATTCCAACACAGATTGGTACTTTTCCATACAGATTTGGGGTGTCTGCTTTTGGTAATGGTTACTAACAACCACATTAGATGGAGAATTAAGTAATTGCTTGGGGTTAGGAAGTTTTTGAATGTGTACAGAAACAACGAGTGTACTTATTTATTACACTTCACAGGCAAGTCTTGCTTTCACCTGAGTAAATAAGAAAACAGTGCATGAATACGAGAGTGTCTCTGTACATAAATCTATAGTATATCCGAAGTCTTCAGAGCATCCAGGAGTACTGAGCTCAGCTACTAATTTAATTTATACTCTACCATACAGACGGCAGGATCACAAAAGCATACGTTACTAACTTTGAAAGAAAAGGAAATGGAAAATATTTTTTGGTTAGTGACAAGTCTTGTCATACTGAACATCAGATTAATCCCTCCGTAGCATTACACCCTACACCAAGAGGACCATCCCACTTTCCCTGTGGCAGAGGCTCAGCAGCCAGCTGATGCATGGCACCTGGCCATAGCTTTAGCCCTGTGCATCTGAGGGCACTTCACAAAAGCATTAAATCACAGAATGGTTTGGGTTGGAATGGACCCCAAGGATCATCAAGTTCCAGCCCCCTGCCCCAGGCAAGGCACCAACTAGCTTCAACAATGAAATCTTCAGTTCCAGTAATGAAGACAATGCCTTGTTAAACAAATGCTTCTATGTGACTTGATGTATTTCTCCAGAAATAACAAAGAATTCACGTTCTCTGAAACCTGATATCATCTTTCCTTCTCCCGTGGTCACAGGCCATTCACATTAACTCCTGTGATACTGGCTCTTGCAGAGCTGCCTGCTCATCCCTTAAGATACAAATTCTCTGGTATTTGTTCTGTCAGGAATGCAGGCTGAAAGTAGCAGACTTCACTTGTAGTAGAAAAACTGATTTACATGATATATGGTTTTTAGAATTCTGTGCTTGATCCTTCTACAGCCTCTTGCATAAATTCTTAAAGATGTTTTTAAAAGAAGTGAAGCCTGGAGTTGTGATGTCAATTTAGTAAAGATGGTTATTTGGAACCCACTTGTGGCTGCGTTGTATACTTGTACCAACAGCCTCAAGAAAAGCTCAGCTCTGAACATGTAAATGATGGGAAGATGTAGCATCTTCCCCGGAAAGAAAAAAGAGTATTTTGGGTTAAAAGAAATCCTGTTTTGTATTATTCAATATGCTTTCTACAACCTCTACCAATGCTACCAGTGACCCATTTGCAAGGATTCTGAACAAATTATCTCCTTATTTTAACAAATTAAATCCGGGCACAATTTAATAAATGTGCACACCCAACACTGAAACTGTTTCTATTAGTACATGAGAAAAAAGTTACTTGAAAAGAAATCTATAGAAAAGCACAGTAAGTCAGTTGAGCTAATCTGTGAGCAACTCCTTCCATGGTACTCAGTCCACTCAGACAGTGAGCCATAATTTAGATATATGGCATGATTAATATAGCTTGATCCAAAACATGACTTTTAATACTGGCATAGTATTAAACACTGTCAACATAATGAATCTTATTGCAGAACACAAAGTCTCATCTCCTCTAATAAATTGCCACAGGCTGCAGCATCTGAGATGGTCACATTAGTATTTCATATTTCAGTTTTCCCTCTTCAAAGAATTAAGCTATAATACGCATTTGTGTTCTGTTTGAATTCTCCATGCCAATCACCGCAGAGATGCATGCTACTCACACTCCTTTTGTGCAGCCACATAGCATCACACTGAGGAATAACTTACTTCTCAAAAGCTGCTATTCCTGGTGCTCTGTACAACAAGAGCTTACCCAAGCATTTTGTCCATTTGAGATCCATTCCTCCAAGCCGTCTCTCCAGGAATAAACAGCATCTCTTTGGCCTCCCTATATTTATTGTTATCAAACAGGCAAGGGCTGTGTGACATCCACGTTTCCATGCAAAATGCATGAACAGAGCATTGCAACAGATTGCAATGGGGAGGACCACAAATGCTTCATGCCAGTGGGGTGCAGTAAGTGTTGATCTCCCCATAGGAACCTTAAAAGGTGCATGGAATGCACTACCTCTAGGCATCCTATGGTCTGGTTGCGCTTAGTTGGTTGACTTGGAGCTCCCTCAGGTAAAAAGGGCATAAAACTCAGCCTTCAGTCTGGCCTCCTCTACTTGTGTTTTAAATGCAGAAGTGCTTTTTAAGCAACATCCAAGAGGTATGATTTGCTGTTCCGTATAGAAAAGAGATGCTATTTCTCTAAATACCGTGAAAATACTTTCATTTAAGACTTTTGGAGACCAAAACCGCAGCAGGTTGCCTATAATCTGCCTTAGATGTGAAAGATTTCTGTTATTCAAAGTGCAAGGCAGCAGCAGCTGACAGCTTTGTCTGAACCAGTGGACTAACAGTATGAATATAGAAAATTATGGATAATGGGAAAGCAGTTCTGAAATCCAAGAGAGATAATAACCGTTAGAGCTTGTGGCAGATCAGAGGTATAGTTCAACAAATGCTGAGCTGAATTGATTTTAACATAAACAGACAATAGTAGAGGCTAGAGTTTTGGTGGAATTGAGGCATGTAAAGGTGCAGATGACCACATCGCTGCACTTGTGAGTGCCTGACTACAATTGCAAACAGCTGGAGGTAGGAAGCTTAGAGATTGAACACCACCGCTAATTACCTACATACCTGTAAAAAGCTGGCCTCACTAATGAGTTAAGAGTTTTTCACCTGTAATCTGTTTTTCTTGCTTTATTCACATACAAATTTCAGCTCCGAAATAATGCTTTTTCCCCCACTGACTGAAAATGTACTTCAAAGCTCTGTTCAGAGAAAATACTCAGATGAAAAACTGGAGACATCTAACCTGCTACGAAAGGCTGGAAAGGAGAAATTCTGCAGCACTGTAGCAAGAGCCTTTCCTTACATACAGCAGGTGTGGTGCACCTACACAGACAGGAGGTGATGTGTTGGCTGAGATACTTCATTATCCATATCCTTGCAGAACACATTGCCCCATACTTATAACGTTGTTAAAACAGCAAAGCTAACATGACCTGTCTTTATCCCTTCATTGGGAAGGCTCTGTTTCGTACGTATTATTTTCTGGTTTTGAAATGCTTTTGTGTAGTCAATATACCACTGCTAAATGCTTCCCGTGCAACAGATGGAAATCTACAGTGACAACGTGTGGTGTAAAGCCTGCACTGACTCACACTGAATTAAAGAGGTATTTAAAGAGAAGTAGCTTGATTGTTTGGAAGGGAAAACCAGATTTAGCAGGAACGTTCCAGTCTGGGACTTGTTTAGGGCCAAGAAATTCATATGCTTTTGAATATGACTGCAGAAATATTTTTTGTCCAACTAACTTGGGGGCTAATTTTCATTTCTATAAAAACCTTATCTGTAAGGCAAGGCCATATCTCATCTTACTAGCTTTATTTGCTTTATTTTTCTACTTCTCAGCATAGGTTCCACAGGAACTTTTGATTAATTTGTGCTGCTTGCAAGTTAGGCTTTTAACCTCTGGAAAAGCTCTAAACACTTTAAAAGCCTTAAAAAGGATTGTCAAATAAAACTTAAGCTAGAGGTCGACAATTTAAGGTTATTTTAGCTCTTCCATGGAAAAAGGGACACACTGGAAAGGCAAGTTAAACATTCAGTTAACCATCTGCTCTCAGAATACAGAGCATCTCTTTTCATTTGAGCACTTTACTGCTTCTGCAAAGGAGAACAGCCATGTGAGGAGCTCAGGCACAATGCATGCTAGATTGTAGCTTCCCAGGGCTCCTCAGCATCTCTTTGGAGAAAAGGGTGATGAGAGCCATGTGGGACCCATTCCAGAAAGTCTTGGGAACACATTGCACAGAAACAAACCAAGATAAGGTTAAAAAAAAAGATTTACATTTTCATGTTCTGACAAAAAATTTGCTACGCCACTTACAAAGGAACAATTTCTCCCTGTACAACTATGTTAGAAACCACAGTAAATAAGAAACAGGAATCTTACTTTCCAAGGGCAAAACATTCCAGTTTAACAGATGAGCCCTTTGCTGCATATGTTGTTTCTGGAAAACGTGCTTCAATCTTTGGTTCATACTCTCCCATCACACCTGTTGAACATCAAAACAGCTAGCACTCCAGTTGAGCTTCAGACCTGTCTAGCACAACAGAATTTCAGTGTAAAAGAAAGGATGGCATTAATAGTGTTAGAGCCTTATGCTCCACCCATGGGCATCCACACGTGATGTCTGAAGACTAGTTTTGATTGTCTGGGTGAAATCCAAACCTATGCTGAAAAGCTTAATGTGAAGTGTGCAAATTCTTTACATGTGAATGGTGAAGCATGTGCAAGTGCAGTATCTACGTGCATTAGGATTTCAGGGAGAATTTGAGATTCACACCTCTCGTTAGCTGCTAATAAGTGATGGCTATGACATTTGTCAGTAAGTTGCCACTTCTAAGGACACCAGGTAGTTTTGAACACAAGAGAAAATTAAGGGGTTCCATGTCCAAACTAATTACAAAACACTTAAAGCATCTTAGAAATAACCAGACGTGAACTCTAAGCTTAAGAAAGGCTGATGTAATTGGATATAGTAATCACATCCCCAAATCTCATCAAGTATCTGATAAACCAGATAATCCAGTATCAGTTTAAGGGCATTTGACCTTGCAGCAGGTTTGGGATTGCTTTAGAAAAACTGAATTTTTTGCTGAAATTCTTAAAAAAAATGCATTAATCTTTCAGTACAACTCATTGAATCAGGAATGATGAAAATCAGTCTTCCTCAGATAGAGTCTTAGCCCAGATCTCACACAGAAAAATGAATTGGTTCTTATTTTACATTGAACAGAGGCCCAGCTAATACTCCATGTGCTATTTTGTACAGCTCCCTTGAGACTGCCAGCTTAGGACTCAATCCAGAGGCTACCAAAGAGAATACGAGACAATTAAGAGACTGATGAGACCGAGAAAAGGAATAAAGCACGATGATGAGAAGGAAGAAAATAGGCATAAAAGATCTAAAGCATTTACATGCGGTACCAAATTATTAACTTTCGATTTTGGGAATTATAACTTCATTTAGCATGATCAGATGGAATGTTATAGAGCAGCATAGTCTCTCAGTGAGAGTATTACGCAATAATGCACAGTTGAGTTTTATTTATACCAGAAATATAACACTGTACTGACTCTGGTAACAACTCGTCACTGCGGCTTTGCAAGCAGCACAAATACACTGAAATGCAGGTGAGCAAACTTACAAAACCAACTTTGAGTAGAGATCTCCCAGGTATGCACTTCTCTATGCAAACATTTATTTAGAGGCATGGCTGAAAAGGCATTTGTGTATCTGTGCAGGTGAGTCTCTCACCTCAGGAACTCACTCAGAATAGCTTTCTAGATCTGATGGTTGAGCTATACCTCATACCGAGTGTGCCAAGAGAGCTTACCATCACTGCGCAGGGTGAGGGGAGTGGGTGGCCCCTGAACACTCTGCCCAGCCTTGGAGTTGGTCACCACACAGGTGTAATTGCCCACATCCCATGGCTCTACTTTGGCAATGTACAGATTTCCCGTTTCTTGTGAAACAAAACGCCGTCTGTCCTCCTGAACGTATAAGGTGTTATTGTTGAAGGTCCATGCAAAAGACAAGCCTAGAAAAGAGCAATATACATCATGCATCCTCAGATTTGCTTGCTTCTTCTTAATGCTTTTGCTGGCTGAAAGAACGAGCCAGTTACAGGGCAGACCACTGGGGATGCACAAATTAGCACAGGCAGGATAAGCACTGCTTCAGTTCTAACTTACTTCGAGCCACTTGAGAAGGTCACAGAAGTTTCTGTCCCTTGCTGCTTTTTATTTTCCTGTTTCAGCCTATTTTTAGGTAAAAATGGCAGTGCTGCAATGCCATGAGAAAGCTGGCTTAGTAAATAATTCCTATCTATTGCAACTTGCCTCTCAATACTGAGAGCCAATTGCTGATCATGCAGCACTACTGCTCCTTTCTCCACTCCACACATGGAGAAAGGAAACAGGTAACAAGACATCATTAGATTCTCATTGAGGGAAAGAACTCTGCTGCATCCAAACATCTTGGAGAATAACATCTACACATCGCTCCTTCTCTGCTTTTTTCTTTATCTTCCATACTTGCAACTGCTCCATACTTCTTGTCCTGTTCTGACCTCCTAACCCTATTCTGCTGCTTTCTTCCATAGCATTTCACACTGTAAAAAGGTACATCCATAGCCTAGCCACTTTAAAACTAATTTATTTGACCAGCAGGACAGAGCTCTATGAGCTTGCCATCCAAAGACCCTGTTACCCCAACCCTGTGTTTCCATCAATGCCAGAAGTTTCCTGCCCACTCCATGCCCAATACTGGGCTGCAGTATTCAGCTCTGCAGTGGCAGCAGCAGGACAGAAATTCTGTCATTAACAAGGCCCAGTAAATCAGAACTTCCAAAATGTACCAGTTTAGCTCCCTCTAATTAAATGTATAATTCATAAGCTAACAGTGCTCTGCCAACAGCTTCATTTTGCACATTTCCCCCATCAAATATAGCATTTCAAAAAGATTATTTACATTTCCTTCCCCTCCCTCGGTTGCAGCATAGGTACAGGATGATAATAAGCCTGCAAACTCCAGTAGTTTTGTGGAGTTTTATGTTATCATCTTCTAACATTTTAGAACTCTCATTAGAAATGACACGTCTCCAGGGAGCAATCAATGACACTTTCTATCCTTGGCTAAATTCTGTAATAGGCTCTGTTTTATTACAGTATCCTTTTTTTATTATTATTGTTTTTGACATATGGTAAGCCCAGAAGATGCAACAGGTCCTAAAGCAGTGCAATACTTGTGTGTACGTGATTGAACAGCATAGCTGGACACCCATCAGGCTTTCCATAACAAGACAAGTAAACCAAAAGTGAGTTAAATATGAAAATAGGTTTGATGGTTCACTTCCTAGACTCCAGTTCCAGTGCTGGCAGTTACAGGGCTGATGAGAGCCTTGACCCATGGACAAGGCACCATGAAAGACTTCTAGGTCATCTTATGGCACACCATCCAAACCCTGCTGGTGGCTCCTGCACCACACAGAGGTGCAGCAAGCTTCTCCATGCTCAACAGGGTATACAAACCTTAATGAAAACCTATTAAAAAGTAGCTTTATGCTGCACAGAGCTTGTTCAATCTACATTTCAGTAGGTACAACAGCCAGTTCTCATCTCTTATGATTTCAGCAAAGCACCTGATAATCTTGCAATCTCCATTACATTCTGTCTGTACTGAACCATTGCCTCATTGCCTATTAATACTCCCATGAACCAGGAATGAGTTCAGGCCTCTTTTCATATTTCAATTCCTTCTCCCCCCAGAACCAGGCATATAAACATTGCCACTCTCCTCACTGCAGGCTCATCATCACCAGCTCCCAGACCTTACTTGCCTAGAGCCTAATTCAGATCCATTAAACTCTGTAGAAGCTCTAATTTTAATTGACTTCAGTGGGAGCTGAATGAAATCCCAAGAAAAAGATCCAAACTTTATAGATCAAACTTTTTTCCCCTTCTAAAGCATAGCCCCAGCAGGATACTCCCTCACACAGCATCTTTTCACAGAAAGCTATGATAAGCAAAAAATATTAATAGATTTAATAGACTAGAAAATGTAATACTACATTAAAGAAGGAGTTACTTTTACTTAAATGTTTCCATTTTGGGTCACTTGGAACAGATCTGATTTGTGCTCCTTTCTTTTTCCTCATTTAATGGCTCTGGTACAAGGCCCATGCCATCACTTTTGGGTTACACTCATTTACATGAGTAAATCAGCAGCTGGGAAGGCTCTGGTGAAAGTAATGGTGAAGAGAAGGTAGCAGAGACATAGAAGGGAAGTTATGTAAGGAAAAAAAAAAAAAAAATAGTAACCTGCTAATGAAGTCTAGCTAAAATAGACTTGAAAATTGCTGCCACCAGCTATTTTAGTGAGGAAAAAGAAGTTACCTTTCTAAAGTTTATTTTGCTTTCCATTTAGCCATAGAATTTCTGAAAATAAGAGCTGCTGGGTTCACATCCCCAACACAAATCCAGAGCTGTTGAATTTCAGAGGCTGCTATGAAAAGGCTTCAGTAAGAGTCTTACATGAGCCTTCGCCATTATCAGCACCAATTATTTTTTTGTACCCAATTCATTTTCCCCTTGCACAGAGCCTTGTATATCTGTCACTTTCCCTCTAGGTTGACTACTTCTATGATGTTGAAAACAAATCAACATGCTTCAAAGTAAGGGAGCAGAAGGTTTTCTGCCAGAGACCAATTAGTCCACTTTTTCTTAATTCTCTTTTCACTGTGGTTAACCTGTGATGCTTTAGAAAAGTAAACTAAGTGAATGTACAGAAAGGAGAAAAAAGGCCAGGGAAGAGACATCTTCTGGAGGCCCCTACATAGGGTTAGCTCCTTCCACAATCTATGAGGTTGATTCCTCCACTTCACAAAAACCAGGAAATCCCAGGACCTTGCAACTAACTAGTCCTTTCCTCATGTGCAAAGACTGCATAGATAAACACCCACCTGTGCCCCAAGGGGGAATGGTTTTAAACTGAGACAGGGAAGGTTTAGGTTGGATATTAGGAGGAAGTTTTTCACGCAGAGGTTGGTGAGACAATGGAACAGGTTGTCCAAGGAGGTTGTGGATCCCCATCCCTGGAAGCATTCAAGGCCAGGCTGGATGTGGCTCTGGGCAGTCTGGTCTGCTGGTTGGCAACCTGCACGTAGAAGGGGGTTGGAACTGTGATCCTTTTCAACCCAGGCCATTCTATGAAAGTTAGCCAATATGACATAATTCCTCCTTTATCTATCTATCTATAAAAGCATCTTTAGAAATGCCTTTTGCTATCCTGAAGTGAATACATGACTTCCAAAACATGGAACATGGGTTAGATGATGCCAACAGGGAAACACTATTTCTCCTGGTTTTTGCTGCATCCTGGAATTGCTTGTGCCAAAATCAACAAAATGTTTCCTTAAGCACTCTGTCATCATGTGCAAAGAGAAACAAGCTGAAGCAGGTTTGGGCAGTCTCTGTTCAGTAGTGCTTTAGGTAAGGGCCAAAACAGCAGAAGTTGATCACAGCTTTTGTTTTAATCTTCTGAAGGAAATCACATACAGTAATGCCAGACTTGTTCTAAAGTCAGGAAAAATGAGTATGATCTCCTCCCGGGTTGGAAAAGAACTCTGCTATCCTTATGACAGCCTTATGCCCAGAAATGACTCCACTTCCTACAAATAATGACAGAATACAACATTCATAGCACTGTACAAGTCGGAGTTTTTCTGAACTAAATCCTGCAACAGAAGAGAGAATAAAGTAAAATTTATATCATTTCTATCCTCAACTTTTTAATTTAACACTTGTGTTGGTCTCACAGACAAGCTTAGAAAACATCAATCACCTTCATGTAATTAATTTCTTAATTCTGCCCAGCTACTGCCTAATAAATACTGCACTACAGCTCCTTTTTCTCTTGTGCAGCTGATTGGACTTAACCCAAATTAACATGTTTGAGCTCTGAACACTGGAAAATGATATTTGCTCTCTAAAGTAATCCTGGTGCCATTATTGACTCTGTGGGAAGAAGGTGCCTTGAGTGCACAGAACTGCATTTACTTCAAAGAGGCCGTGTGGCGGTGAAGGGATAATTACAGCAACATAGACTTCATTATGCACACGCCAGCTCATAGGCTTTTTTATTAGTGCTGCAACCCTAATTGTTGGGATCTTCATCCAAGACAGGTGACTGTGCAGGGTTTCTCTCACTCCTCACCCAGACCCCAAGCAGTGAGCCCAGCTCAGCTTCCAGCACCAGGAGGGAGCACTGCCAGCTCAGGGCACAGCTGGGAAGGGGGGCAGCTGATAACTACCTCTGATTTATCAGTCTGGGGAATATAACGTTTCAGAGCTCTCCTCCTCAGCCCGAGCAAATTTAGATCAATATTGCTGGTTCTGCAGGAGGAGAGCACAGGATGGTCTCAGGGAAGGATTAAAGATTCATAGGAGAGCTCAGAAACAGGAGCAGAGGGAAAGCTGCTCTAAAGCAGTGATTAAGGCACTCAGCTTTGTAAAGGGAGATACACATCAATCCATCACTTGGAAATTATGCATGTTATCAGATGGTTGTTTAATACAAAATGCAGAAACAACATGAGGAAGCAGTCAAAGAGCCTTTTACACAGAAAAGCACTGCTCATCTCATCTCCACATACCCACTCCCCTGTCCCCTATGCCCGTCTCCCAGCTGAGGACTCAACATTTGTCTCTACTGAGCAGGCTTCAGAGCTCTCACTTCTTTAAGAGCCTTTTTGGTTTTTTTAATCCAGCTCTGCTGTTGTTACAGCAGTACAGAAAAAGCCCACTGAGTCAGCATCCCAGCTTCGAGCCCCAGCAGCCCTCATGCATGAGTAAATGCAAATGCACAAGTGATCCTGCTGCTTCTAACAAGATTAGCAACTTTCTTAAGGCTCTGCAGGGATCCAGCTTGGAGGAAACAAGCCTTATATCACACTTCACCTCTAACAAAACAAACGAAGAAACAGCCCAGCCCATAGTTCTGTGTCAAATATTACCACTCAGAGAACAACTCCTTAATCACAGGCAGGTCAGGCTCACACTCAGCTACAGAACTGAAAAGTTCTTCAGGCTTTCTTCCTCCCTCATAGACGGCTTTCAACACTTAACTCTATACAAGATGTTTCTCTCTTTCTTGTAATAAAGAAACAGCATATGTTGATGATGCAGAAAAAAAGAATTGCTGACCTAAAGAACTTTAGCTGTAGAATAGATGCGCCCCAAAGAGAGAAATACAGCTTGCCTCCCCCACCCTTACACCCTAGAGCCTCACTAACAAGCAGAGAAGGGTCAGATGCTGAACTTTATAAGGTGTGTTAATGAGCATCATAAATAACAACAGCTGAGGCTGAAGAGCAGCAGGTGCATAAATAGGCAAGAGGGGGAGGTGTGCAGGAAGTAAGAGCTGGGGTGTGTAATTTGTTGTTTAAATTACTGTTCTATTTATTTTAGTCTGTTGGTCAACAGATCCTACCTCTAGCTTAAACCTGGTGACAGAGGTTTATGGACAGGGTGCTGGGTTTTTTTTTTCATGCAATTAACCTGAAGTAAGCTCACTTACTATTGACATACTCATTCTTGCTTTGCCGAATCATAATTTTACCTATCAGCAGGAAGAAGACATACAGCTTACTGGCTCATGGATGGATGTATTGTCTTTGTCCCACTGATACATTTCAGGAACTCTTTGAAGCTTTCTCTACCCTTAAGGGCCACATTTCACTTCATCTCCTTGATTACATACCTCTTTCATACAGCTGCAAGCACTAAGTGAACTGATGTTTCCTTTCTGTCCAAGACTTGTGGGTTTTAAAATGACTGATGGGTTTCTCTACTACTTTGATATACTGCATCCTCCTTATAGATCACAGTTTACCTTCTTCTTATGGGAACAGCTATTTCTTAAGAAGGATTGAGAAAACAGTACTGAGAGCAGGATGTTGGTGCTGGCTCACAGCATGCTCCTCCTTTGGGTGTGTGGTTATGTGAGTGCTATAAGAACTGCTGATTCCCTCAATCCAGTAACCGTACTGTTGATGATTTACACCTCTTTAATGTGCATCTATTTTTCCAGGACAAGATTTCTAATCATCTTCAGCTGGTTATGTGAGAAAACCATAGTCATTGCTCTGAACCTCACAAGACAAGCAGTTACAATGTGAGTTCTAGCACCTCCAAAATAGGATTTGAAAATGCAGGTGGCTCAGAACTTGCAAAAGTCAGTGCTGGGGAAAAAAAAAAAATCTCAAAAAATAGCTCTCAAGAGCTTCTTGCTTCTATCAGATGCAAAAAAGTGGGGTTAATGAGAAATGGTACTGCTCCAACAATAGTCCTCATATATGCTCAAGCCTTTGTATTGCACTTAAAACACTCATGTTGTAGGTGGATTGTAGCTATATAGAACCCTTGTTTAAGGATAGCTTACATTAAAGAAATCAGAAACATTACAGTGAAAGGCACTGTTAGCTCACTGCACGTCCCCAGAACTCTACCTTGTCCAGAGCAAGAGCAGCAGTGGTAACAGAACAGCCCAAATCCATTCTTTGGGCTGCACCCGACTCAGAGCTACTCCACGTACCTCCGTGATGTGGTGGAGGACCACAGAGCAGAACCACTCCTTGTCCTTCTCTGACTGACACTGTGCTTCTTGTTTTCATTTCAAAGTTCTCAAGATCTGAAGAGAGAAGGAGAAAACAAAACCGTGTTATAGTCAGATTTACTCCGAGTTACATTCCAAAACATGCAGTGCTTATAGATAACTCAAGAATATATATTTCAGTGGTATAAAATTTCACTACGTGAACTGAAGCACTGTATGGACAAATAGCTCATCCATCCACCTACCTGGTCCTTCAGCAACCATAAAATAATTATTTATGAAGCACTTAAACCTTAACAAGTGATTTCTACATTAATTACAATTCCACTTTGTAAAGCTAGTGTATTCTGTGAGTTTTTCTAGTGACTCATCAGAATTTGTCTTAATCTGCACGAATAGGAAAAAAATGTTTTGGGTTTCCTTTTTTTATATCAATTAAACACAGGTGTGTGTTTCTGTAAGTATAAGTGATAATTAAACCTCATCAGAACTCCCCTAGAGTGTGTGTTTAAGTGATAAAAGTATGCCATATTTTCAATGAGCACATTCTTTCCTAAAACTGTCTGTGGTAAGTGGGCATGTTTTTAATTGACTTGAATGAACCTTAGCACTGGTTTCAAAGGGGAGGATAAGAACACTTGCAATGAGAAAAAAAATAAATAGAAATCACACGATGCCCCAGGGAAGTTGGTGCAAAAAACACTGATGCCTGGACTCCCATGGGTGATTTTCATGTCTGCTTATCAATTTTTACATTATTTTTACTAATCTAATACAGTATTTTCTACTTTCTCCCATTTCCCATATGTGGAAGTCTCTCAGTGTCATTCTTTTTAAAAGAACAGTTCAGTTTCAGGACATGATGTAACAGATGTTCTTTAAAAACAGATTACTTTTTGATCCAGTTCTCACCCTGATGAGCTGACTTACTACTTTTGTCAGAGCACTTCAAAATGTTTTAATAAAATAAACAGCAGCAGCTTCCCCTTAAATCTTAAGTCAATGTGGTGTGCTGCAGGTTCTTGTTTCAAACAATTGTTCCATTTTTCATCAGCTGAACAACTACCTGATCCAGAGCTCAATAGAAGGAAACAGTTCTCATTGGTCAAAGCCATCATGATTACTACCTGTACAGCCTCAGCTATGTATGTCAATATATCAATTCTCTCCCTTAGTTGAACCTTACAGAGTAAATTTTTCTTTTTCTCCTCTTCATCTCCTATATATTCATCTCCTATGAAGACATTGTCTACTTGGAGGTGACTGAATTGAATTAGGCAGTGGTGGCACCTCCTCACAGTCACAGCCACAATAGATGGTACCTGCCAATACACAGGAAAGTGTTCTAAACTCTGATGTTCTTTTAATTGCCTGCCAGCTACACTCGCCTTGCAGTCCAGAGGGACACCAAAAAGGAGACAGATGAATGGAGTGAAACTATAAACATTTTTCTGCCTCTCTTTAATACTAATTGGGAAAGAAAACAATAGCATGCCTTCATAAGAGTTTTGATTTGTATCTAAAATATGCTGATCCAACCTCTGAATGTGTGGATTGATTTATTTACCTGTTCTGAAAATTCACTCTGAGAAAACTGATCGTATTTTTTTTCCCTTTTCTTTCCTGTGGGTTAAATTATTTCTGAGAAGGAAAAGACCAGAACAAATATTGGTCTCTGGACCTGATGGCAAGTCAGCACGGGGGAACTGCCCAAGGCACGTGTGCTGTGGGAAGAGAAGTCAACTCCGTATGTGTTATAGGAGTTAGGAAAAAGATGTGGAAAAGTCAGAACATTCAGATGCTAGCAGTGAAAACAGTTGCATCTCCCACTCCTATCACATTCCGTTCCTTGATTTGCTAATGTAACACGTTGTGCAGTTCCTACAGAAAAACAGATTAAAAATAATTGCAAATCTCTGCACTCGTATGACAAATATACGTAGCACAACCAGTGGTGTTCATTAACGGTTAATCAGATCTACCTTTCTGCTGAGAACAAGATTTTACTGGGAAAGAAAGAATGAAAAAGGAAGTCCGGTGCTGCAGTTAACAAAAGGTTTTCATGACAGTTCAGAATTAACTATGGGATACTTTAGTCTGAAACTGGCATAGTTTCTGGAAAGTAATAAATTGCTAGTAGCAATTCTTAGTTTAATGACACAATATGTCAAGGTATCATTTTACCCATTTAAGAAACTGTCACCTGTCCGTGTTCACCCATTAAGATAATGGCAAGTATTCCTGTTTAAGCATTGAAACAGTAGAAGTACTAGATGGCTCACAGGCTGTCTTACTTTATAATTAGCAGGACTAATTCAGATTACATGTGGTGAAAAATTTGACTTTGTCTTTTTAATCTCTGAAGCACCCAATTCTGCATGCAGGAGCACTGCCACTTCCATTGCATGCTTATACTTTGGTTATACACAGCAGCCCATATTTTCCTGCTGCTGGAGAGATTTTTGTCCTCTTATGGTCAATAGTGAATGGCAGGTATAAAAAAATGCTATGGGGACACACTAGTGATTATTTAATCTACTCATCATGTCTATCACAGCTTTGAGTACATATATATCCATCCAAACAGATAATTATCTAGCTTATTAGACTCCTAGAGACAGACATTTCCTTTAGATGATCCATTCCAGTGCTTGGCTCTGGACTTTTCACACTACAAGCAGCTCTCACTCCCAGACTAAACAGAAATGATCCTTTTCTTTCTCTACCTCAGGTCATTTTTAGTAGATTATTAGACAGACATCGATTATTTTGTACAATTAAGAATCATTGCATATAAAAAAATCCCTGAAAGAGCAAAACAAACACAAAGAAAAGTAAAAATGACTCATTATAGGAGTCATTCTTCTTCATTCTTCATCTTTAAGGGACCTTCTTTCCAGGCAGGCTCCATCTCCCATAAAATACTGCAACACCTCATTCAGAAAGTTCTCAGTAACGAATTACAGAATTGTCTGTCTTCAGTATGTAGCCCAAGATGACAACCAGGAACGAGGCAAACCATCAGGAAAAACGTTTCCTTTGGCTGGAAGCGGTCTTTTTGCTCAAAAGATTTTTGCATCTATTCTCCCTCTCTTTGCGTATATTTGCAATGATTAGTAGCAGCCTAAAGTATGCTAAGCAAAGAAAAGAACTTGAAGATGAATAAAAATGCAATATTTGCGTTTGCTCTTGTTATTCTGAATATCTGGCTGCTTCCCAAAACCACCTCTTTGCCCTAAGTGCATGCTTACACCAACAGTGCACAACCACCCCATCCTCCCTGTTACTGTTACCTAGCATAGCTCTATAACGTAACATGACATAACCTAATAAAGCATAATGCTGCTTGTCAAAAAGACTATCAAAAGATAGCTAAGATCAGGTGTTTGGCACACATTTAGACTGCTAATATGCACTTAGGAATAGTGTGACTATTTAACAGATGGTATACTTGCTAACTTCAGTGCTTCTGCAGAGATCTATAAATAAATTATCACCTAGTTCTTCCATTCTTTGCATTTATCTCACTTTATGAACAATGAGTGTCCTCACTGCTCTATCAGCTACAAGTTTTAACAAACAAAACTTTGTTCAGCATAGCACATGTTGGCAGATTACTATCAGTGTAGCACAATTAATCAGTTGGACACGATAACGAGGTCATGTAGGCTAAGCAAAATGCTCAGGTGAACAAATGATTCTTCACAGGGAGAGTGGAAATATATGAACTCAGCTGTGTGTGGCAAAGAGTCATCATCTTCAGCTGGGAAGATTTGCAGACCTAAGCAGGAAAGGTACATGCCTGGAGCATGGGAAACATCTGTTATTTTGTGGAAAGTGGATCAGAGAATGACAAGGCTTCCTTTGATAGGAGTGAGAATAGTTGGGGTGGAGACATGCAGCTTCTCACCTGGTATGAATGCAGGGGTAGGGAGGAGTAATGGCTACAGCCTGTTTCAGCTGGCGTAAATCATTAGGACCCCACTGAGGTCAGGGAAATGATACTGATTTATGCTAGCAGAGGGTATGGCTTACAAGTTTTCACTGTAGGTACTCAATTACAATAAAACCAGGAAGTGACAGGAACACTGCTTATGGGTAAGGCTGACCATCACCATAGCTCTAGTGAGCACTGAGCTGCAATGAGAGGCCAAGCGCCTGCACAAGTATGATGTGGTGCTTCCCTCAAGTGAAGGATGCTAATCTGCAGAGACTGCCAGGAGTTAGTGCAACAGATAAACAGAAATATTTCCTGCTCAAGTACTTCTGTTAGTAGGTGAATTGTTAGGTTCAGCCACACCTTGAAAACGTGGATTTTCTTTATTCATCTTAAAACCCAGCACTGACAAACACTGAGCTAATTGCTGCTTGGGCAATAAAATGATCGCTCTTCTAATTTCTCCCCAACTATTATTCATTATATCAACCAGAAAGATCAGTACAGTGGAATAGCAATACAGGTGGGGTAACAATAAAAGGACTACTGTGATGGAAAGGTGTCACAAAGGAAAAGCACTCACCTGTCTCTGAAGATCTAGGTTCACAAGGGAGAGATCTCTAACCAGATAGCCTTCCCTAGTGGCAGTCAGCCTTTAACTGCTGACTCCTTCTGCTCACACAGCTGAATTGCCTTCAGCTGTGCTCCCAGGGCTGACCAGGTCCTTTTCCCAGATGCTCAATCAGTGGTTCAGGCAGACTCAACAGTTACCATACATACACACATTGCATTTGTTTTTCTTAATACAAAACTATCTTTAAAGAGTTCAACTTGTACACCAGCACGCATAAAAGCAGGAATGGTTTTCCTGGGATTTGAGAATCACTTTTTAAACTTCTATCACAGGAACAAAAAGTAATTGCAAGTAACAACTCATTCCTTTCAGCCTCTTCGCTGTGTGTTTCAAGTTCCTCAATCTGCTCAGGGATAGGTGTAACCCTTCTTGATTGATTTGGCTTAAGAATGGGCATAGGACATCTTCATTTCACTGAATAACAAACAAGGAAGCTGGGAAATTTTGATATATAAAATTGTTACAGACAATTAGAAAAAGTTCAATTCATCATCTTACATAATT